TGCTGCTATGAACATGGTTGGACATATGTCCTTGTTGTATGAACATGCATTAATTTAGGTATATACCCAAGAGAGGAATGGCTGGATCTTGAGGTAGACTGATTCCCATTTTTCTGAACAACCACCATACTGATTTCCAGAGTGGTCTTAAAAGTTCGGAGTCTTCAGATGTGGGGTTGTTGAAGATCTTTTCCCATTCTGTGGGTAGTCGTTTTGTCCTACTGACTGTTTCCTTTGCCTTGCAGAAGCTTCTCAGCTTCAGGAGGTCCCATTTATTAATTGCAGATCTCAATGTCTGTGCTACTGGCGTAATGTTCAGGAAGCGATCAAAGGGATACAATTGGAAAGGATGAAGTCAAACTTTCACTATTTGCAGACGACATGATAGTCTACATTAGTAACCCGAAAAACTCTACCAGGGAACTCCTACGGCTGATAAACACCTTCAGCAAGGTAGCAGGATACAAAATTAACTCAAAAAAATCAGTAGCCCTACTATATACAGATGATAAATCCAATGAGAAAGAAACCAGGGAAACATCACCTTTCACAATATCCATAAGCAATACAAAATATCTTGGGGTAACACTAACCAAAAAAGTGAGAGACCTGTACAATAAGAACTTTGAGACTTTAAAGAAAGAAATTAAAGAAGATACCAGAAAATGGAAAGATCTCCCATGCTCTTGGATAGGTAGAATTAACATAGTAAAAATGGCAATCCTGCCAAAAGCAATCTACAGATTCAATGCTTCTTTGATTCATTTTGACTTAAGTTTTGCCAACACACTTTTTCACAGACATTGAAAGAACAATACTCAACTTTATATGGAAAAATAAAAAACCCATGATAGCCAAAACAACTCTTTACAATAAAGGATCTTCTCGAGGCATCACCATCCCTGACTTCAAGCTCTACTATAGAGCCATATTTCTGAAAACAGCTTGGTATTGGCACAAAAATAGACAGATAGACCAATTTCGAATTGAAAACCCCGATATTGACCCAGGCACCTACGAATACTTTATTTTTGACAAAGGTGCTAACTCTATACAATGGAAAAAAGATAGCATCTTCAATAAATGGTGCTGGTACAATTGGATTTGGACATGCAGAAAATTGCAGATAGATCCATACCTGTCACCATGCACAAAACTTAATTGCAAATGGATCAAAGATCTCTCCATAAATCCAGCCACACTGAATCTTCTAGAAGAGAAAGTGGGAATTACCCTTGAACAAATTGGCACAGGAGACAGCACACTCCATTTTAGAAAAACAAAAAACAAACAAAAACAAAAATCAAACAAACAACAACAACAAAAAGTAAAAAACAAAATCCCAGAAAACAGCACAGTTCTGTTACTCTTGTGGTACTTGGTACCATTTTTTTTAAAATTGGCTTCTCAGTCATCATCTGGGAGGAAACCATTCTGAGAAACATCATTAAAAACAGCTCTGATAAAGCATGGGCACTACTATGTATCATAAAGCAGGTGCGCATATGAGTGAGTATATATCATGTTTGTCTTTTTGTGATTGGGTTACCTCGCTCAGAATGGTTTCTTCGAGTTCCATCCATTTTCCTGCAAATTTCAAGATTCCATTGTTTTTTTGTCCAGTGTGTAGTACTCCATTGTGTAAATGTACCACAATTTCTCTATCCATTCTACGGTTGAGGGGCATCTAGGCTGCTTCTAGTTTCTGGCTATTAGAAATAATGCTGCTATGAACATGGTTGAACATATGTCCTTGTTATATGAATGTGTTTGTTTCTTTTGGGTATATGACTAGGAGTGGAATTGCTGGATCTTGTGGTAGACTCATTCCCATTTTCTTGAGGAGTCGCCATATTGATTTCCACAGTGGCTGTACAAATTGGCACTCTCACCAGCAGTGGAGGAGTGTTCCTCTTTCTCCACATCCTCTCCAGCATAAACTGTCATTGGTATTTTTGATTTTGACATTGCAGTTCTTAACATCTATGTCCAAACACCAAGGCAGAAAAGTTTGCAAAAGAAACACTAATACAGCTTAAATCACATATTGACCCTTACACACTGATACAGAGGGACTTAAATACACCACTCTCACCAGTGGACAGGTCATCCAGACAAAAACAGAGAAGCACTTGATGTAACAAATATTATAAAACAAATGGACTTAGCAGATATTTATAGGACATTTTATGCAAACACAAAATAATACACCTTCTTAGCACCACACAGAACTTTATTCAAAATTGACCACATACTCAGACACAAAACTAGTCTCAACAGATACAAGAAAATTGAAGTAACTCCCTGTATTCTGTCTGACCACCACAGATTAAAGCTGGATATCAGCAACAGAAACAACAGAAAGCATACAAACTCATGGAAACCAAGCAACTCTCTACTGAATAAAAATTGGTCAAGACAGAAATAAAAAAAGAAATAAGACTGTTGAGAATTCAATGAAAATAAATACACAGCATACCCAAACTTATGGGACACAAAGAAAACAATGCTAAGAAGGAACTTCATAGCACTAAGTGGGTACATTAAAAAAAAATTGGAGCGATCTCCTACTAGCCAGTTAACAGCACTCCTGAAAGCTCTAGAACAAAAGGAATCAAACACACCCAAGAGGAGTAGATGGCAAGAAATGACCAAACTCAAGGCTGAAATAGATAAAATGGAAACAAAGAAAACAATAGAAAGAATCAATGAAACAAAGAGTTAGTTCTTTGAGAAATCAACAAGATAAACCCTTATGCAAACTAACTAAAAGACAGAGAGAATATCTATGTTAACAAAACCAGAAATGAAAAGGGAGCATGACAACATATACCGAGGAAATCCAAAGAATCAAAATGACACACACACCTTAAAAAACTGTTCTCCAACAAACTGGAAAATCTAAAACAATACAGGTGATTTTCTTTATTTTTTTTTCATTGAATAAACAAGTTTATTTGTAAATTTAGTCAACATACATAACTGACCTAGAAACTTCAATAGGATACTTTTAGAAACCACTTGAAGGCCATCTCTATAAAAGGGATTTTGCCAGGACAGTAACGAGGTGTAACCTAACCCATCTTCATTAGCAGAGGTGCAGTAGCTGAAGCTGTACTCTCACCCCCATGTTTAGACTCCACAAAGAAAAAACAAACCTTGTACTGTTTTCCCCTTGAATATTAAAAAATAAACAAACTGAACTCAATCTAGGCATAAGACCGAACAACACAATGAAAAACTGCACTAACTAGATCAGTAACAGGTGATGCTGGTGTGAATAACTTGTTATTTTATTCCAGAGCCCTTATAAATAAAATCCCCGTTAGTGTATGTGTCATCAACAAGAGGGTTAACATGTGGTAGAATGAGGACTTCTGCAAGGTTTCATACACACGCATAGCATTTTTCTACATTGTTAAAAACAACTGCAGTCCAGTCAGGAAACACCAACTGTACTAAATTACACACACATTAATGACAAGACTCCCTACCACTTGTGAATGTAAAACATTTAATTTAAACTGTTGAACACTGCAATATATAAAATAGCTATTATAAATGAACATAGTGTATTTATTCTATAGCTGCCACCTTTACTTTCTGTTTTTTTTTCTTTCTTCTTTTTTTTAAGGAAACTGTTACACTGTTAAAACTTGTATCTTCAACCTTTGAAAAAGCCCACATTCTACCACAGTGATGTATTGTTAAACACTTGGATCAAGTCATAACCAGTTTTATTGCAAAGGGACCCTGTACATTTATCAGTTCTAGTACCTTAATAGCTACCCAACAAGTCATTAACATACAGAAACATGCATCTCGAGAAGCAAGTACTATCACCCATCCCTTCTGCATATCAGCAACTTGTCACTCCTGAGCCGCAGTACTCATGTCACTGAGGTCTGCACAGTCACTCTTCCCATTCATCCTGATGGAATGACTTAAGTAACATATTATAATGTTATATATTATATTAAGCAACATATTATAAACAATTTCTTACAAAAAAAGTCACAAATTAAACCAAAGTATTTTACAGAATTTACTACAAAATGCCATAAAAACCGCCTTGACTTAAGCTCTCTCCCCCCGTATCCGGCGAGCCAACTGGATGTCTTTGGGCATGATGGTGACTCTCTTGGCATGGATGGCACACAGATTGGTGTCTTCAAACAACCCCACCAGGTACGCTTCACTGGCCTCCTGAAGGGCACCAGTGGCTGCACCCCGAAACCTCAAGTCGGTTTTGAAAACCTGGGCCATCTCCCTCACCAACCTCTGGAAAGGCAGCTTCTGGATGAGCAGCTCAGTCGACTTCTGGTAACGATGGATCTCTCTTAGAGCCACGGTCCCGGGCCTGTGTAGCAGTGAGGTTTCTTCACCCCGCAGGTACATGTATTTCCTAATGGTCTGCTTTGTTGGGGCCATTTTCTTTCATCCAAAGCTGAAGTCTGAGGCCCTTGCTGGGACACTGCGCCGCTGTTAGCGCTCGAACAACAGCGCAATCACCAAGTGGAAGGAAGATCTTCCTCCAACAAACGACCAAACAGCTCTGCGCTCGTGATTTTCTTGATATATACAACTTACCAAAGTTAAATCAAGATCAGATAATTTAAAGAGACTTATAATCCCTAGTGAAACACAAGCAGTCATTAAAAGTCTTCCAACCAAAAAGCCCACAGACAGATAGTTTTATGGCAAAATTCTACAAGACTTTCAAAGAAGACTTAAGGCCAACACTCCTCAAACTATTCCATAAAACAGAAATAGAAGGAACATTGCTCAATTCATTTTATGAGGCCACGTTCTCACTGATACCCAAACCACATAAAGACTCAACGAAAGAAAGATTATTTACAGACCAATTTTCCTCATTAACACAGATGCAAAAATATGCAATACAGTACTTGCAACCAGAATCCAAGAACTCATTCAAGAGATCATCCACCGTGATCAAGCAGGCTTCATCCCAGAGATGCAGGGATGGTACAATATAAGAAAATCAGTTAATATAATACACCATATAATCAAACTGAAACAGAAAACTCATTACATGCTAAAAAAGCCTTTGACAGCATTTAACACCCTTTCATGAAAAAAAGTCCTGGAGAGATTAGGGATACAAGGGACATACCTCAACCTAATAAAGGCTATTTAAGCAAACCCATCATCAACATCAAATTAAATGAAGAGAAACTCAAAGTATTGCCACTAAAATCAGGGGCAAGACAGGCTTGTCCACTCACTCCATTCAACATAATACTTGAAATTTTAGCTAGAGCAATAAGACAACCGAAGGAGATCAAGGGTGTACAAACTGGAAAGGAAGAAATAAAAGTATTTTGATTTGCAGATAATATACATAAGTGACCCTAAAAACTCTACCAGGTAACTCCTACAGCTGATAAGTACTTTCAGAAAAGAGACTGGATACAAGATTAACTCAAAAATATCAGTAGCTCTCCTATATACAAATGATTAACAGGGTGAGAAAGAAATCAGGGAAACAAAATCTTTCACAAAAGCCCCCTATAATAAAAAGTATCCTGGGGCAACTCTAACCAAGCAAGTGAAGGACTTTTATGATTAAAAACTTCAAGCCTTTGAAGAAATTGAAGAAGATTTCAGAAGATGAAAGACCTCACTTGCTCATGGATCAGTAGGATTAGCATAGTAAAAATAGCCATCCTACCAAAAGCAATCTATAGATTCAATGCAGTTCCTATCAAAATACCAACACAATTCTTTGCAGAACTTGGAAGGACAATCCTCAGTTCCATATGGAAAAACAAAATGCCCAAGATAGCTAAAAAAATTCTGAACAATACAAGAATTTCCAGAGGTATCACTATCCCTGATTTCAAGTTTTACTACAGGGATATAGTAATAAAAACAGCATGATATTGGCATAAAAACAGACATGTTGATCAATGGGATCAAATTGAAGACCCAGACAGGCATAAATCCACATATATTGACACCTGACTTTTGATATACAATCCAGAAACACACACTGGAAAAAACCACAGCATCTTCAATAAATGGTTCTGGTCAAACTGGATGTCTGAATGTAGAAGAATGCAAATAGATCCATATTTATCACCCTGCACAAAATTCAAGTCCATCTGGGCCAGAGATTTCAACATAAAACCAGATACACTGAACCGGTTAAAAGAGAAACTGGGAAATGGCCTTGCATTATTTGGCATAGTATAAGACTTTCTTAACAGAACACCATTAGCACAGGCACTAAGATCAACAACTAATAAGTGAAACTCATGAAACTAAGAAGTTTCTGCATGGCAAAGGTAAATATCATTTGGACAAAACAGCAGCCTACAGAATGAGAAAAGATTTTTTTACAAACTCCACTTCCAATAGAGGAAACTAATATCCAAAATACAAGCAGAACTCAAGAAACTAGATATAAAAAACACAAATAATCCAATTTAAAATAGGGGACAGATAACCCAAGTAAAAATGTGGTATAGACCTAAAAAGAGAAATTTAATAGAGGAATCTCAAATGGGTGAGAAGCACTTATAGAAATGTTCAACATCCTTATCCATCAGGGACATTCAAATCAAAACAACTCAAATTTCATCTGTCAGAGTGGCTAAGATAAACAGAATGCATAACAGCTTAAGTTGGCAAGGACGTGGAGCAAGGGAAACACTCTTCCACTTGTAAAGCCACTATGGAAATCTATGCAGTGGTTCCTCAGAAAGTTGAAAATTGATCTACCTCAAGACACAGCTATACCACTCCTAGGTATATACCCAAAGGACACTCCACCCTACCGCAAAGACACTTACTCAACTATTTTCATTCTGGCTTAATTCATACTGGTCAGAAACTGGAAACAACTTAATGTCCCCTCAACAGAAGAATGGATAAAAAATGTGATACATTTACGTTATGAAGTATTACTCAGCTTTTAAAAAGTGATATCATGAAAGTTTCAGGTAAATGGATGGAAGTAGAATCATCCTGAATGAGGTAACTGAGACCCAGAAAGATAAATACGGTATGTACTTACTTATAAGTGGATATTAGCTGTTAAGTAAATGATAACCAAGCTACAATCTATATACTCAGAGAGGTTAGGTAACAATGATGGGTCTAGGGGTGATGCAAGGATCTCCCTGGGACAGAGCAATAGATTTTATGGGAAAATTGGGGGCAGATGGGGACAGGAGTGACAGATAGGGTGGATGGCATGGAGGGGGAGAGTGTGGGAAGAGCCAGCTGGAACTGAGGGGGGATTTAGGGGGTATTGTGGAAACCTAGTGTGTTGGAAACTTCCTCAAATCTATGAAGATGGTCCTAATAAGGACTCCTAGTAATGGGGATACAGAATCTCAACCTACCATCTTCTGTAGCCAGGTGGGGCTTCCAGTGGCAGGACTAGTCTGCAGTCAGTTGAGTTGTTGGCCAAAGGGGTTCCATGGAAATTCCCAAACAACCCAGGCTGTTGTTAAGACAAGGGGTTGCTCTCTGCAAACTAACAGCGGGACTCCATTGCTGACGACAGCACAAATACATCTCACTGAACATGGAGATGTTGAGCTGGCATATAATACATGAAGCCCTCACCTCTATGTTCTAGTCTCCTAGGTGTGGGAAGGTACTCTGCAGGCTACCAAAATAGAAACGTGGACACCAACTCAGACACAAAACCTTTGACCTATAATCTGTCCTTCCCGGAAAATATGCTAGGGTAATGGTAGCACAAAACTTGTGGTAGTAACCACCCAATATCTGATTTGATCTAAGGTATACTTCATGAGAAGGAACTCACAGACAACACTGCTTGGGTAACCAAGAACCAGAGACTAGATAGTCCAAAGACCCAGGGAAAAACCAAACACTACTGGTCAAGAAAATTAATGAAATGATCCCTAATGATATTCTGCTATACTCATAGATAGTAGCTTATCCAGTCATCATAAGAGAGACTTCCTCTGGAAGCAGATGGGAACAGATGCAGACATTATACAGAGAGTCTAAGTTGGATGCTCTATCATATTCCTCTCTTCAGAGCTCAGGGAATTCCATGGAAGAGAAGGTTAAAGATTGTAATGAGCCACAGGGGATGGAGGACACCAGTAGAACAAGGTCCTCTGAATCAACTAAGCAAGGTGCATATGAACTCAGAGAGACTGAAGCAGCAAGCCTAGATCCTACATGGCTCTACACCAGGTCCTCTGTGTATATATTATCACTTTTAGTATTTTTATGCGACTCCTGAGTGTGTGAAGGAGTGGCTGGTTCGTGTATCTGCAATTGGGAGTCTTGTGCTTTTGTTGGCTTGCTGTGGCCAGCTTCAGTGTGATTATTTTTTGTTTTATCTTGTTATGTTTCATTTGCTATCTTTGGTTGTTATCTCTTAGAAGCCCATTCTTTTGTAATGAGAGACAGAAAGGGGGTGGATCTGGAGGGAAGGGAATGCCAGGAGGAACTGCATAGAGGGAGGGGAAATTATCAGGATTTATTGTGTGGGAAAAAAACTATTTTCAACAAAAGAACAAAAAAGCAAAAAAAAAAAAAAAACCAACAAAGAAAGAAATGTAACACTTAGAGGACAGTATATTAATAGGGGTTCCTTTGCCCTCATTTTTATAGTTTCCAGTCAACCAGGTGTCCAAATATATTAAGGTAAATGGTTTCATTTTTTTCACCTTTTGCAACATTACTTAGGTACTTTCAGTCTTCAGTTCTTTTTTTCAATTTTCATCATAAAATGTGTAATTGCAGGATACTTATGTAATAATTTTAGATTTACTTGTCACAGACTTTAGGGATCTAAAGTATGCACCAAGGGATCACTGTATGCTGTGACTAATTTTGTTGTATATAATAAAGTTCACATTTTGTGATGTACAGTTCTATGTGTTTTGACAAATATTCTCTCCTTAGATTTGTTAAGATTTGTTTTGTGGACCTACTTAGGATTTATGCTGGAGAATGCTGCATGTATATTTGATAAGAATGTGTATTCTGCAGCTGTTGGTTGGAATGTTCTGTAGAGGTCTGCTAAATTCATTTAGCCTAAAATGAAATTTAAGTCCATCTTTTCTTTACTGATTTTCCACCCAGGTAATCCCTACATTGTTAGAAGATGGGTATTGAAGTTCTTTACTATTCTTTTATTGAACTCTATCCCTCCATTCATTATTAACATTGTTTCATATATCCAGGTGCTTCAAAGTTGAATTCACATATATTTGTAATTTTTATGTGATCCTTGTGAATTGTCTGTTAATTGTCTTTTGCTGTTTTTGATAGAAGATGTCACTATGTAGGCCTGGCTAGGCTCTGAAATCACAGAGATCTGCCTGTCTGCCTCTGAGTACTGGAATTAATGGTATGGGCCACTGGGTACAGTCTATAATGTCATTCTTTTTATAATGTTGTCATTGTAGTTCTTGACTTAATATTTTATCTGACATAATGATCTCTACTCACTTTGACATAATTGAATGAAAAAGTGAATGCCACAAAATGTTTCTTGCACTGGGGAGTAGAGTGCAGTATATCACAAGAGCTAACCTAAATCATGTTCAGTGCATCAGTAAAAGAAGAACATGAGGAAAAAAGACATTCATGTATATTTGTATGTGTCTATATAATACAAATGTATGTGTATATGTGTTATGTGTATACATCCATTTATGTATATAATTTATAAATAGTCTCATTGTAGAAAGCTGTACTTGAACTCAAGATTCTTCCACATCTTCCTCCTAAGTAGTTCTGGAATTACATCATTGCTTTGGTAAATGCCCACTCTAATATTTTCCCAATATTTTGTTTTAAAAAAAGCATCAATGCAAGTATTTTGAGATAAAATGAAACAGCCAGGGGGTTTTGTTGCATTTTTATTTGTAATACAGAGTGTGTGTGTGCGTGCATGAGCGTATGTGTTCGTGTGCACGGAGAACTGTGAGGACAACCTGTGAGAGTAAGGTTTTCTCCCTCCGCCATGTGGGTTCAGGGAATAGAATTCAAGTCCTCAGGCTTAGTAAGTGCTTTTATCCGCTGAACCACCTGACTGGCCCTAATTGATTTTTCTTACATCTACTTTAAAAATATGCATGAAATATATAATTTATATATTTATTACATTATGTATGTATATGAATTATTTGGGAGCACCTTTATGTTTAGAGACTTTAAATATCTTAATCTGGTCATATTTGAAAGTCAGCAATGAATGCGACATAATCCTCTCACGCCATGTAATTATTGTTGTCGGGACAGGCGTGGGAGCTCTGAAGCCATTATCTTCAGGAGAAACAGAAAAATCAAATGGAAACAGGGACACAGAATGGGGAACAGAGAAATGAAATGGAGAATAGGTGTGATGCTGAACAAGAGGTAGTAAACAGAAAAGAGGAGCTGCACTGAGGAGATCGGGAAGTCGTTAAGCAGGGAGGGGGTGGGGCGGGCCGGTAGGGACGGAGACCCCCCTCTGGAGGCGGAAAGAGGCGGGTCCACTTCCGGCCAGGCGGGGAGGGGGGGTAACCAGCTCAGACCTGAGCAGAGGCTTGGAGAGAGCAGACGTCCTCTGGACTCAGGAGGGTGAGGTGAGCTGAGGTGGCTAGCTTTGGTAAAGACCCTGTAGGAGCTTAAAGGCTGCAGCTTCAGGGTGACTGGCTTCATACAACATTAAGATTTGAAGAAAACCTGCTGGGGTTTGGGATCTAGAGGCTTCGATGTTGTGGGTTTTGTGGTGCC